GAAAAGCAACCACACATTTTGACAAAGCGGGGGCTGCGACAGAGAAGAAAAAAAAGAAGCGGAAAAAGCCAAACGCAAAACGTTGTCAATTAGCGACAATAGAACAGCAATAGCTGCAGCAATAGCTCTGGGACTTGTAGTTCTTTTTCTCTTTTTCTCNTCTCTGTGCAAATGTGCAAATGAGAAGCCAACTTTTACACCTCATTTTCCTTTCACTCTTGCACTCGGAAGTTCAATGAATGAGAGACTGAGACTCACAACTGCCCGGCTGCAAATGCAAATAAAGTGTTCCCACTGACCACTACTGCCACAACTAAAATGAAAACTACACACACACACACACACACACAAACTTGACAAGTGGGCAAAGAGTGTGAGAACTGTAGTCTGCTTTTCTCTGGGGCGGTGGAACACAGCTGCTGAACTCTGCAAAAAGTAACTGAGCTGTCAAATGAGTCAGAAGAAAGTGTGCGAGTGATAATCAGCGGCAACATCTCCGTTTGTTTTCTGTTTGTTGCCGCTCGTTGTTGTTGTTGTTGACATTTGACAATTTTCCTACTTTTTTTAAAAATATTCTCTTACTCTTCAGTTTTATGCACTGTTTAAATACTATCTAAACGCTGTTGCTGCCGCTGCTGTTTTTAACATCGCCAAAGCCTTCCTCACTTTGACGGGACAATCTCATCCACTTTTCCTTTTTCTCTTTTCCCTCTCCTCTTCAACTGCTTCAATATTTGCCTATGTTAATTTGACAGTAGTACACTGAATAGCTGCCACGAACAGAAGCAAGGAGATAAATAGTAAGCTAAAAGTAGTGTGCCAAAATGCAAAAAAAAATATTACACAATGCAACTGCTTAGACGGACAGTTTTTTATTTTGATTGTTTTTTATTTCTTTTTATTCCGTTTTCACAATTCTGGAAATCATTGTTTAGTAAAATAAAAAATTGCAATAAATGCAAATTTTATGTTTTTTGTTCACAAACGCACTCAAAAACTAAAACACATTTAAATTCAGGTGTTTTGCAAGCACTACGTCACTAAAATGTTTTCAAATCTTTTTGAGAGGTTGAAAATAAAGTTAAATCTGTTGACACCTTTCTTGTTTTAAAGGATGTGCTCAGATATATTCTCTTTCTCATTTTCTGTGCCCATTAAATCTACTAAATGCAAATTTAATAATCACATTTTGTGCCCTTTAGTTTGAAAACATTTCTCTTTTCTCCTCTTTTTTGCACTTACTTTTCCAGACTCGCCAAACACTGCACAATGAAAAGCTCGAAATTTTTCATTGAAGTTCATAGTTTCATTTCCCCTCCTCTTTTTTGAGTGAGAAAAAAATCAGCAAAAGACTACTGCCCTCCAAAAACTATTGAGTTCCATACTGCAGAAAATTTTTTTATTACTTTGGCAGCTGCTGCTGCGGCTTCATCGTTTTATTGAGATGCTGCAGAGTATTTGCTTTATTGCTACAAAATATTTGACTACAACTACTGCTACACACTGTCAGTTTATTTGATTTGACTGTCCTATTGTAGACTTGTCTCCGTCTATCGGCTGTTTTTTTTTGTTTGCAAGTGAGAGAATATTGTCGTGCTTTTTCTTACACTTTCTCAATTTTCCCTTTCTAGCAAGTTAATTTCATTTCAACTCTGTTTAGCCTTTTTTTGCTTTCTCCCCTTTTTATCGTCGTTTGATGTCCGCTTTCAGAAGATTCAAAGATGCAGAAGGCGATTTGTTTGTTTTGATAGACCAGCAACTGCACTAGAACGATGAGGGCGACAATGGCGGTTGACTTTCCTGCAGTGCATATTTTTGCTGTTGTTGCAGCTATTCTGTTTGATTTATAAAATTTTTATGTGTTTTATGATTTTTATAGTTTTTTTGGTTGTTTTGTATTTTACTGAAACTTATTGATTGACAAAAATATATGGCAACTTTTTTTTTAAAAATATTTTTTGCATTCACAACAGCAACAGTTTATTTTTGCATTAAAAATATTTAGCTTTTTGTCTACTTTTTCCAATTTAAAACAGTTTAATTACTAGAGCACTGGCAGATAAAAACAGACGTCATCCGCTTACCTACTACTTTGCTCCAGTCAACAATTAAAACAGTCAAAAAAACAGTTAAAAACCGACGTTGAGCGTCCTGCAAATAAACAACAAACAAACAAAAAACCTGTTCTACTTTTAGCTTAACTTCTTTTTATGCAGCAGTACTAATTACTGTTTACCGCCAACTTCAGCAGCAGCTAAAATGGTGACCACAAGCGCACTCTAACAACAACAACAACAACAACAACTTTCTAATTTTAACCTAAAACAAAACAAAGGTAAACAAAGCTTCTACTCACCCAACTGGCAGTCAGGTACTCACAGCCCTCGATGACCTGTTCATTCCAGATGAAGCGAACGGTGAGAAAGTCCCGATCCACAAAACGGGTCGACTGGTGCAGGGCGGCCACCAGAAAGACCGCCACCATTGCCTTGATCACTCGCGGAACGGTGCACCAGCTGCGAGCCAGGCTAAAGTGGCACACGTAGACGTACCTGCCAACAAAAAAAATGAATGATCATCATCATCAACATCAACCACTTATCAACCACTTATCAACAACTTATCCCACTCTTATCAACTGTTGTACAACTGTTGCAAAAAGTACCTCTGTCCGGCGAGGAGCAACGTCAGCCAGATGGAGTAGGTGTGAAAGAGGGCGGGGAGCACCTCGTACATGACGTGAAAGAGGTAGCAGGTACGAGGCGGGTAAAGCGAGTTGGCCGGGCTGCGGTGGTTGCCCAGCGTGTACAGGTAGAAGTACCAGGGGGCGGGCGAGAGGAGGGTGAGCAGGTCGGCGATGGCCATCGCCAGCAGCACCAGATTGGTCGGTGTGCGCATGTGCGCCTGGCTGAGGACCAGCACGATGAGGAGGTTGGTGATGAGCGTGGCCACGAGGAGAAAGGGGAGGACGTAGCCGAAGAGGACCACGCCCAGGTCCTCCGGGACGTCGCGGCTGATGTTCAGCAGGAAGGTGATGTTGTACCTGGGCATAAAAAAATGAAAAAAGAGGTTTTTTAACCAAATAAAAAAAATAAAAGTTTTCCAAGTCAAGCAAATTGACAAGTTATGCCAACTATTTTAACTGATTTTTTCTTTTTGTTGACTTTAGTAACTTGTAACTCTTCCTTTGGGGTTTGTTAATTTAGTAAAGTATTTTTTTCCTTAAAGTTTTACTTGCAATCTTTTGCTTTTGCACAGTAATATAACTTTTTTCCTCAGCATGAGGAGCATTCCAAATACTGGTTTTTCTTTTTTTGCAACATTCTGCTGGCAGTAATAACAGCAAAGACGTAAACGGTACAGTTACCAGCAACAGCAGCAGCAGCAGCAGAAAATAACATTATCATTATCATCATCATCTTTTTTCATCATCAAATATGGCTGGCGACACACACACACACACACAGTTACAGAGTCTGCCAGCAAGTCGTGCTACCGATCTTTTCTATTCCCTTTCCGCCAATTTTTTGTTGTTGTTTTTGTTGTTGCTGTTTTTTAGTGCCCTTACATTCACTAACTGACTGACTGACTCCTACTTTTTTTCCAAGTTGACAAATTATTGTTCAGCTGCTCAGCTAAGCGTGGGATAAAAGTATGTGCTGCTGCAATTTCACTGCTATCATTGCTATCATTGCAACCACAATCAACTGAATTAAAAAATCTGTCACTGAGAGGTCACTGAGTTAGTAGTAGTGTGAATCACAGTACTATCATCCTGAGATTCTTCTCATCTTTGAAAATAATAAACAGCTAAAAAACAAAAACATTTTTAGAATTGAAAGCGTAGCCGCTCTATGAAATAAAAAATAAATATGTTTTTTACTTTTTTTACTTTTCTTCCGTTCTCAAAAATCAGCTGCAACATTTTTGACAGTTTTTGAAGTTTTCAATCGCCTCCTTTTTATGACCCCCCGTTTTTTGCGCTTCAATAAATATACTCATTTTTAGTGTAAGTGTACGGTTTTCATTTGTAGTGTACCACTTATTTTGTACACACAAAAACTGTAATAGTGGTAGTGGTTTTAGATTTCATTGATATTTTTGGAGTAAACTAAAAGAAAAAAATGTCTTTTTTCTGTCCAACAAGCGGAAAAAATGTTCTTGCCCCCTCTGCCCCTCTTCTTGTTTAATACCATTAATAATCAGATTATTACAAAACGACTCTACCTAGACTTACTACTAGAAAAAACTAATGTTAAAAAACAAAATTTTTTCATTTCTACTATTTTGACTTTTTCCTCTCTGTACAAGTCTCAGGTTAGTGAAAAAACCGTTGCTTTTTGCTGTTTTTTTCTGTTTAACTGTCTCTAGTTTGCTTTGTTTCTTCTTAATGACTAACTTTCAAATTAATTACACAATTCATATTTTTTCCTGGTTACTGAATTTTGCAATTTTCTTATATTACTGCTCATATTTGTAATTTTTCCGTTTAACAAAAAAACTATTAATTACCTTTTTTCCCACTAACAGCAACTTGACAGCTAAAAACACAATCAAACGGCGACAACTTTTCAATCTATCAAAACATTTTAATTTTAATCTTTTTCTTTTTTTCTCTTTACAAAACTCAGACCAACTAAAAAAATTAACATATCAATTACAAAATAAAAAAGTAAAGGTAAACTGCTGTTGTTGTTGTTTAGAACAACAATCAGGTTCTTTATTCAAGCTAACAATTTTACAGAAAAAAAGTGGCGAACTTTACAACTATTTTCGTTGCAAACATTTTTGTTCTCAACAAATCATAAAGTTTTAAAAACGCAATGAGTTTACATTTGGCGACAAACGTAGCAGCACACCGAAGAACAAAACTTGGTGGCGGATAAAATCGACGTCCGAAAAATAGAGAGTTTTTTTAAAGCTCAATCACAACAGAAAGAAAAAGAAAGTAATCTTGTGTTCTAGTCTCTGCTTTGTGCGACTGTCAGATGGGAATTAATTAAAATGGTAAAAAGAGAAGGAGGATAAAGTAAGTGGAGAAAAACGAAGGCCAATCTGTTGCCAATAAGATTGAGAGCATCAAGGAGTAGAGTAAATTCTCTCTCTCTCTCTCTCTCTCTCTCTCTCTCTCTCTCTCTCTCTCTCTCTCNCTCTCTCTCTCTCTCTCTCTCTCTCTCTCTCTCTCTCTCTCTCTCTCGGTCAGGCTAACCAACTAGGCCTAACCAGGCTATCATTCATCTCATTAGTGCTCTCTTGGGCTTGTTTCTGTATTCTCTCTCTCTCTCTCTCTCTCTCTCTCTGTACTTAGCAGTTGCTCCATTATAACTGCCCACCAGAGTTCAAGATTGTTTATGCACTACTGTTTAAGATCCGGTTTGAACCGGCACTTTAGTAGAACGAGGAGTAAGAGGTAAAAAACGGAAAAGCTTTTTTGCTGAAAACACCAAGTTTCAGCAAAATACCAAGCTGCAAGTGTGCTGCACCTGCAAAAAGTCTCCAGTGTCAGCAGGAGAAAATCTGCTCGACATCAATTGAAAGATTTAGACAACAAAAAACTAAAAACAAGAAACAATGAGCTGTCTTTTTCTTTAGTTCAAAATGAAAAATCTATTTTTGTCTACAATTACGACCATCACCACCACTACTACTAATACTACAACCAAATTTATAAAAAAAAATTTTCTATTTTTTTCTTTGGCTCTCCTAGCAACAGCTTTGATCGCGCACACTTTTTTATCACACCAAACCTAACGAAAAAAAA